AGAAAAAAATATTTAAAATGGGGAAGCACTACAGAAGACTGGAGATGGCCTCTGCTTTCTTCACTTTAACTATATGCATGTATTTTTATTGTTTTTGTTTTTTAGAGGTAGGACCCTGGTGTCTTTATTTTTATTATGTTGTGTGTTTTTTTTTGGCCATGCTGTAAGGCATGTGGGATCGTATTTCCTAGCCAGGGATTAAACCTGTGCCTGCTGCAGTGGGAGCTCACAGTCTTAACATTCATGGGGTCGCAAAGAGTCAGACACGACTGAGCGACTGAACTGAACTGAACTGAAAAAACATATATCTTGAATGTAACTTCTGGTTTTTTTTTTTTAGAATAAATCATTGGGATGAAGTTGCTTTCTGAGAATAATTAGAAAAAAATGAGTATTTGTGTGTAACCTATGAAATATTCATGTCCATAGTTGATGCATATTATATATCTGTTCCTTCTGTTACCCCTTTATTAGTTATATAATTATTTGTTTAAATATGTTCTACTATTTGATTTTGTTGAACCTAGAAAGTAGAATCCCAGCACTATTTCAATTTTTTTAATGTTGAATGAATTCTGTCATTAAAGTATAATGCCCACAAATACTTGGGTTGATGTCCCCAAGCTCCAGAATCTAATACCTGGTAATATGAGGTGGAACTGATATAATAGTAATAAAGTGCACAATAAGTGTAATGTGCTTGAATAATCCCAAAACCATCCCCCCAACACTGACTGTGGGAAAATTGTCTTCCACAAAACCAGTCGCTGGTACCAAAAATGTTTGGGACCACTGTTCTAAAAGACTATTGAAATTAAATGCTATTATAAGTAAAGTTTTAGGAATTGTAATTCCAAATGATTTTATGTACTACATTTATGTAAACCTTCAGTACTTATTTTCATCTTGATAAAGAATAAAAATAGACAAAATTGGAATTTCTTTTTGTCTTTTAATATTATTGTACTAATTATGGTTTCAGTTCAGTTCAGTTCACTCACTCAGTCGTGTCCAACTCTTTGTGACCCCATGGACCACAGCACACCAGGCTTCCCTGTCCATCACCAACTCCCAGAGTTTATCCAAACTCATGTCCGTTGAGTCGGTAATGCTATCCAACCATCTCATCCTCTGTCATCCCCTTCTCCTCCTGCCTTCAATCTTTCTCAGCATTAGGGTCTTTTCCAATGAGTCAGCTCTTCGCATCAGGTGGCCAAAGTATTGGAGTTTCAGCTTCAGCATCAGTCCTTCCAGTGAATACCCAGGACTGATCTCCTTTAGGATGGACTGGTTGGATCTCCTTGCAGTCCAAGTGACTCTCAAGAGTCTTCTCCAACACCACAGTTCAAAAGCATCAATTCTTCAGTGCTCAGCTTTCTTTATAGTCCAGTTGTACATCAATGCATGACTACTGGAAAAANGTGGAAAAACCATAGCTTTGACTTGATGGACCTTTATTGGCAAAGTAAAGTAATATATGAGAACCCAATATATTCTATAGGTTTGGACAAATATATAGTGACATTATTCATCATCATAGTAATACAGAAAATAGTCTGACTGTCCTAAAAACTTCCCCTGTGCTTCACCTATTCCTCCCTCTCTCCCCACCAACTCCTGGCAACCACTGATCTTTTCACTGTCTCCATAGTTTTGCCTTCTCCAGAATGTCATGTAGGTGGACTCATAGAGTATGTACTCTTTTCAGACAGGCATCTTTCACTTAGTCATAGCCATTTAAGTTCACGCCATGTCTTTTCATGGCTTGACAGCACATTTCTTTTTAGGACCAAATAATATTCTATTGTCTGGATGTACCACAGTTTGTTCATTTATCTACTTTATTTTTATTTTAAAGAGTACTCCATCCCAACAACACACACAGTTTGAAAATCTAAGCCTCCTCTTCTGTGATACCTTCCCTATTCTTGCGAGTGTTTCCCAGAACTTGGCCACTATTGTAGTGCTTACTTAGCACTGCATTTCTAATTACTTTATTCATGCCTCCTACTCCATCAACAGTTTGCCTGGTTCGTAAGAGATGTCCTATTATTGAAATGCCTGAATCAGAGAAGTAAGGTATAACTAGGTGATGCCAAGAATGGAGCCTGGGTATGACTGCTGTTCACCATGAGGCACTACCTAAAAATCTCTATTTAGAAAAAGTACACACACATATTTAAATGTACTTATTACATGTATTTGTCACCAATGCATCACAAGGAAGTCACAAAAAGTTGCTTAGTTTAGTTCACAATATAGATTCCATGAAAACATATTTCTCATTTTCTCTGCAGCTTACCATACCTATATAAATTTAAAGCAGCTAAACAACATTTGAGATTATACTGATATAAAACTGTAATTCACATTTCAGAAACTTGTGAAGTAAAAGGTCATGGTGGAGAAAGAGTCAGAAATCTGTAAAATTACTAAAGTGTCACAGTACCATTTTCTTTTCTAAAAACACCTCAATAAAACCAAAAACTATGGAAAACACAGAAGTCAAATCAGAGATTTTGGTTTAGTACTTTCCCTGAGTCTCTTGTTTTATTTTAAAAAATCAAATGTAAAAAATGTAAGTAAGGCTAGTTCAAAAGCGCCCCAAAGGTCTGGCCTCCTCCATGGTGCCACAAAGAATGCATTTAAGCCCAGAGGCTACATGCACAAATGGTCCCAGGGTGTTATTCAAATGCTGGTTTGCTGTGTCCCCACCACAGGGTTATGTGACCACTGCTGCCTGCCGCATATGGGCTTAAAGAGCGGTCAACAGTTTCTCCTGGCCTGCCATGACACAACATATGAGACTAAATACTGAACGAAGAGAAAAAGCCTATGGTTATTAATAAATATTATAATTCTAGGTGGATTTGGACACTACACCACATCAAGGTAATGCACCTAAAAACATCGTTTATGTTTTAAAAATCTTACATAAGCAAGGACTGAAGGCAAGTCACCTCAGATGTTAACAATTAAAATAAAACAAAAAAAACTTAAAAAAATCTAATCCATTAGATCTCAATAAAGTAGAACAAGTGGTAAATTAATGAATTAATGCTTAGATGCGCACACTGCCTGGAAAAGGTTGTTGTCTCTTTGTTCCTTAAAATCGGCCCCTGCAGTGTCTCTACTTGATCGTCTCATCGCATACACGTGTTTGCAAGTGATCAAGCACTTCACTGAAAGGCATATAATCCAAGGAAGGATAAAACGTTTGTTAGAATCTAAAAAAACTGATCTTTTACTTCAAATGTACTAGGTTACTTCCTGTGCTTCTACCATAAGGTCACTAAGTAGTATGGATCATATTAACACTTGTAGTCAAATGTAGGAAAATTTTTTTGCACAGACATCTTTTTACCATCAAGGCATTTCAAAGCTAGGTGGCAAATCACTGCTGTATGTCTCCCTTTTGAAATCTTGACTGCAGACCAACAGCCAACATTTCAAAAGCTAATTCACTGTCTTAAAATTGGGAAGTGGAATGATGGCTCTAACCACCAAAATAACTGCTAGTTATTGAATTTAATAATATAAACACCTCATCACACAGGTGAGGAAAGTGAGGCACAAAAGGTGTTTTTTTTTTTTAAAGAGAACGCTAGTGATAGATAACTTTGGGGTATAATGGATTCAAATTTAATTGAATCTGATGTATTGAATTGTATGATATATAATGAACAATGAACTCGCATGTCCTGTTTGCATCACAACACCTTAGTCTAACCTCTTGCAAACTCTTTAAAGCATGGACCTGGCAAATGACACTTAACCACGTGTCTTCTCTAACCAAGCTAGCTAATGCTTGAGTGAAAAAACAAAACACATATTGTTGTATTAAATGCAATTGGCAATGTTCAATTATGAAAATATTCCATAAGTGAATTTCAGTAACTCTTAAACATCCCACAAAATTCCCTAAGAACCTGTGAGAGTATAATGCCTGGCAATCTTCTCTAAGACAGAAACTCACCCATCTGCTGCAGCATACACGTGTTTGCAAGTGATCAAGCACTTCACTGAAAGGCATATAATCCAAGGAAGGATAAAACGTTTGTTAGAATCTAAAAAAACTGATCTTTTACTTCAAATGTACTAGGTTACTTCCTGTGCTTCTACCATACGGTCACTAAGTAGTATGGATCATATTAACACTTGTAGTCAAATGTAGGAAAATTTTTTTGCACAGACATCTTTTTACCATCAAGGCATTTCAAAGCTAGGTGGCAAATCACTGCTGTATGTCTCCCTTTTGAAATCTTGACTGCAGACCAACAGCCAACATTTCAAAAGCTAATTCACTGTCTTAAAATTGGGAAGTGGAATGATGGCTCTAACCACCAAAATAACTGCTAGTTATTGAATTTAATAATATAAACACCTCATCACACAGGTGAGGAAAGTGAGGCACAAAAGGTGTTTTTTTTTTTAAAGAGAACGCTAGTGATAGATAACTTTGGGGTATAATGGATTCAAATTTAATTGAATCTGATGTATTGAATCGTATGATATATAATGAACAATGAACTCGCATGTCCTGTTTGCATCACAACACCTTAGTCTAACCTCTTGCAAACTCTTTAAAGCATGGACCTGGCAAATGACACTTAACCACGTGTCTTCTCTAACCAAGCTAGCTAATGCTTGAGTGAAAAAACAAAACACATATTGTTGTATTAAATGCAATTGGCAATGTTCAATTATGAAAATATTCCATAAGTGAATTTCAGTAACTCTTAAACATCCCACAAAATTCCCTAAGAACCTGTGAGAGTATAATGCCTGGCAATCTTCTCTAAGACAGAAACTCACCCATCTGCTGCATTACTGCTGCTGATCTGAAATGTACATGATCTCTAAAAAATAACAGTACCAAATAAAACTGAAAGGATCATCCAAATTCCTAGATAATACCAAAGTGTTTATCCAGGATTACTGAATAAATCATGGCAATTTCGTATCCTTTTCAGAAAAAAAAAAAAAAAATCTCACAACTGACAACACAAGCATGTAGCATTTCACATTGTACCAACTGAGTAACAGTAAATGGAGGTATAACCACTACAACTTCTTCACCAGCTTCTGTGTCCTGAAATACCATGTCTGCCCCTGGCAGCTACCATTCCAATTCCACAGGGTATTTTCCAGTCAGACAAGCTGTACAATGATCACTCTTTTCAAAACATTCCAGACCATTCCCATTTTCTTGAATCATAATATCTTCCTTTGTACAATGACCATTGTTTTCAAAACATTCCAGACCATTCCCATTTTCTTGAACCATAATGTCTTGCTTTTTCTCTCTCTGTTTTTTCAATGTTATTCCTTCTTGTACAGATGAAACCAGTCCTTCTACTGACAGATACACAACACTGCTTGCTCCTGAAGGGGGAAAGAGGGGGGAAAAGGTCATGGCACTTCCTTTGGAATGGAAGAACTGCCTAACAGAGAACACTTACAAACAGGAAAACATAAGCCAGAATAAAAATTTCTCCTTTAGCCTCTCTCTCTTTTTTAATTTATTTTTTAAAAATTTCAATTATTTACTAATTTATTGGCCGCATGGCTTCTGGGATCTTAGTTCCTCTACCAGGGATTGAACCTGGGCTCTCAGCAGTAACAGCTCACAGTCCTAGTCACTAGACTGCTAGGGAATTCCCTCCTTTAGCCTCTTAGAAAAAAAAGGAGGGGGTGGTGGTGGCTGGAGCACCAATAAAACACAGGGTCTTTATTATTTTTTAGAATTTTAAATTGGAATTTAAGGGATAACATAATTTAAAATAACAGTGGGGAATTTGTGTCTAAAATGGATTCAGAAGGCTTCAGGAGTCAGTTTTCTTGAATAATAGATTTTGAAGTCAGGAAGATCTGGGTTCACATTTGAGCTCAAGGTCATTTACTTTTCCCAGGTCTATATTTTTCATCTATCAGATAAGGGAAATATTAACTATAGCATTTTTGTAATATTATTACAATAATATAGATACGGTCCTGGCAGAGTGAGTGTTCACAATATATCAGTTGGGTAATGTTGGAAATGCTTAACTGCTAAGGTTCAGACCCAACCAGGCATGACCAGTTAAGAGAAACACCAGCCGTAAAGCAGTGAATGTGGTGGGCATACCACATGGATGAACATGTAGATGATGTTTATAGTTTATACCTCACCTGAATTTGAAAGGTAAATGTCTTCCCAGGATGACCTCCATCTGCAAGTCTTCTGACCTCATTGTTAATGATGTGTCTACACAAGCTTTTCACTTCTGATTTATACCCACATCCAAATAGTTTTATTAGAAATCTGTGGTGAAAGTACTTGTTTTTCTTCTGATCTGAGCTTCGGGAGATGTGAACTGATAAGCAATCTCTGCTGTGAAAGCCCTTCTTCCTTCTCCTCCAAGCTCACCTGGCCTAGCTCTCTGTCACAGCACTATTATTCGTCTGCTCAGCATACATAACGTCTTCTTTCAACAAATATCGAACACTATTTTTCATTAAAAGTGTAAAGATTGATAAGCTTGGATTTTCTGTTAAAAAATGAATAAAGATCAAAGTTTATAGAAATTTTGATACCTACCTAGATAATCTGAAATATGCTCAAATTCTGGTTTATTAGCAATAAGCTCTTCTTTTGTTGGTATGTTTATTCCCATGAAGCATGGATATCTAATTGGTGGTGAAGCTACACGAATATGTACCTTGGAAAGAAATCATTTCATGCATTAAATAGTTCGACATTCACTGGAAGAACAATTATGCAAAATTCTGTCACTGGCAAATGAAACATAAAATTGTTTTACAGAATGTTTCAAAAACATATGGGCAGCAAAGCACACTACAAAATTTCTTTCAAAATAATAGGTAGAAAAAAATCATGTGATATATATACAGAACTCCAAGTGTTCAGTCAGAATTACTTTTAGAATTAACTTAAAGAATGACCAACAATCCTACTTGAGCAGCCCTGTTCTAGACCCTAAAGTGACCTGGACAAGAATTTAGAAATGTTATCCACTTGTAAAGGGTTCTTCATACAGAGCTGCCCATTGTTTCTTTCTGTCACCTACTGACAAGAATACTTCTTTCTTCTGATCTCTCCTTTCTCATTTATTACATTCCTAGAACCACCTTCATTTTTCTCTTCTAACACTTGAAAGGAACTTTTGCCTACCTCTTATTTTACCATTTTATTAGTATAAAGAAAATAACACCTACCAGGATATAATTAAAAAAAAAAAAAACCTTACTATTACAAATAGCTATATTTGTCTACTTTTCTAAATTTATCACTATTTTCTGACTTTTTTCAGGAAAATTTACAAAGCTATAATCAGTGTCCACATTTACTTTTTACCTTTCTTATAACAGCAAAGATTTCCCCATGTTTAGCAGTCTTCATAGTTTTTAATGGTTGCATTGTATTTCATCATACTGATGTATCAATTTACCAAATTATTTCCTGCTGGTAGATATATAAGCTATTTCCAGTTTTTGTATTTATTTGTGTCTTCCTTTTTTACTATAGTATGGGTGCTGAACTAACTTTACACTTCTTTGTCTTCATTACATGATTTTCACAGAATTCCAAAGAGATTATCATAATCATAACTAGTCATTAAAAAAGGCTAGAAATCTTAAGCATAATTATCTTAAGACTGTCATACTGCTTTCTATATCATTTTCTCCACAATGGATTTTATTTCTAAATCTGATCAACTATTAGTAAATGACACATCTCATTTAGTAACATGAATTATTGAAGTATTTAGTTAGAATAAGCTTTGCGATGTGATAATATAACCCAATGTGTCAAGTTATTATAGTAGGACTGCTTCTACATCTTCATAAAAAAAGTAATCAATATCCTACAAATTTAAAAGTATTCTATTTTATGATGTTAGTTTTAAATTAGGTTTATAAAAATTTTAACATAAAATTTTACCGATTTTATCATATTGTAAATTTATAGGATAGATGTTTTAATATTACTTACCTCTTTTGCACCAGATTCTCTGAGTAACTTGATTATGGGCGAGATGGTATTGCCTCTCACGATTGAATCATCTATAAGAACAATTCTTTTTCCTTTAAAGTTGTCTGACAGCACTCCAAATTTTTTGGCAACACCAAGCTGTCTTAACCTCACGTTTGGCTGAATGAATGTTCTTCCTACATACCGGTTTTTACACAGCACCTCCACGTACGGAAGCCCACACTACCAGAGAAGGAGTAAACGGACAATGAGCAGCACATACACGGAGAGTTCGAGGGCCCTGTTTTCTCTAGGTCATGCTTCCATTAGAACATGTATGTAAAACTTTAAACACAGTTATAATTCTGAGCTCTCCATCATCAGATTATAATTTTCCTTCACTATCTAAACTGTAGGGAAGACAAGGCAAAAAGAAAAATTAACAAAAGTCTTCTACTTAGTGGGAAAAGCAATTCATTTTATTAGAATTTATAATGTTTCTTTCTTATGTATTGTTATTTCTCTATCTTGGAAGAAAATGCTAAGAATGTGAACACATGACAAAGAATAAATCACTATGAAAAAAACCCACATATTGTATGCATATTATTTCTTTAGAAAGTTCATAAACTGAACTTCCCAACACAATGAATGTTGGCTATTATACCTGTTATACCCCAGAATCACTATAATTATATAATCTACTTGGTTATGAAAAATGCAGTTAAGCATAGTACTAAGAACATTATACAAAATTTTAAAAATAGCTTTATTATTATCCATACTCAGCAGGAAACAATACACCAGTGGCTTATGAGGATACTTTATAATAAGTAAATATTACCACTAAACTCTATATATAGTATGATGATATCTTTCTAAAATGAGGGGATCATTCTCCTAGTCTTTGGGTGAATTTTTTGTGGATCTGCTAAAAAACAGTGCCACTAAATGAAAAGGCTGGAAAATAAGTAACTCTTGTAAAGAAACACTGTTTTTTTCCTTACTCATAAATTGATGAGTTTCTCTTTATATACATGGATTTCTAATCCCAGTGCTAAATAAGCAATTCACTGTGTGTTAATGAAGAGAAAATACCTTTGATGCGTAACCAAGAGCAGCAGGTGTAGCGGATTCTGGGACAGTGCTAACCAAATCTGCATCCACGGGGGCTTCAATGGCCAGCTGCTGACCACAACGATATCTTACTGTGTAAACCATCTGGTCTAGAATATTTGGAAAAGGAAATAGATTTTTACTTAGTATAATATAGCCCAGCATATCATTATTGTAAGAAACTAACTTGTTCGAATGCTATAGAATTGAGTACCAAAAGAAAAGCTAGACGAAAAAAACACTCGAGTGGAAACACATAAATCAGGGGGAATTCACTCTTTAAAAAAAAAAAAAGAAAATTAACCTTGGGATTTCCCTAGTGGTCCAATGGTTAAGAATTCAACTTGCAATTCAGGGGACAAGGGTTCAATCCCTGGTCAGGGAACTAAGATCCCACATGCTACAGAACAACTAAGCCCGTGTGCTCTGGAACCTTCCTGCCACAACTAGAGAGCCAGGCTGCTGCAACTCCGGAAGCCGGTGTGCTACCTCCAGAGAGTCCACGCACCACAGCAAAAGGTCCCACATGACATAATGAAGACCCGAAGTGCCACAGCCAGGACCCGAAGCAGCCAGATAAATATAAGTAAGTTAATCAATTAATTAAAACAACTAACCTTAATACATAGCTAAAAATCGTACTCTTTACTCCAAAAAGGAAAAAAATCTGACAGTCAGAGGAACTGTGATCTTTTCACAACATATATCTGTGCCTTCAAAGCCTTTGGGCCCAAGTACTTTCTTGTTTCAGTGAGATAACAGATTTACATCAATAGTTAGAGATATTTTACTTACCTTCAAATATACTATCTGGTCTTGCAAAATAAACATATTCAAAGATGCAGAAAGCCATTGCGTTTCCTTCAGACCTTGGTATAATATCAAGAGTTTGGACTTTATGTCTGGATATTTCCACAATTTCTCCAGGCAAGACTTCACGGTAATATCTTGGGAAACAATGTTAAAGGAGACTTGAAGCAAACCAGTCCTTAAGGCTAATTATCTATTATAAAGTGCACAGAGTCCCTTTCCTTATAAAGGAAAAAGGGTTCAGTTTAATAGAAAGTCTATTGGCTTTAAAAAAAATATTCCTCCAACAGTAATTTCTATAAATCTGCTACCCTACACATGAATTTAGAATTAAAAAAAAATAAAAGTCCTGCAATTTATTGATTTGTAATGGAATGAAGGTTAAAGAGAACATTTTTATCCAGGCTTAAATTTTTTTGCTCATAACTATTCCTTGTTGAGGAGATTCTTCCTTTCTAAAATAAGTTTCACGGTATTTTGAAAACAAGATCCCAGTTCCAGGATAAGCAGGTACTACTGGCACGTCAGGGTTTCCCCAGTGGTTCTGGGGTAAAGAATCTGCCTGCCAATGCAGGAGACATGGGTTCTATCCCTGGGTTAGGAAGATGCCCTGGAGAAGGAAATGGCAATCCCCTCCAGTATTCTTGCCTGGGAGACCCCAAGGACACAGAAGCCTGGTGGACTATAGCCGGTGGGTTCACAGAAGTCAGACATGACTTAGTGACTAAACCAGGACATTAATGTCAGTGCAACTGCTGAGCACAATGTACACAAGAAACTGCATTTAAAAGCATGTGTTCTTGCAGATATCAGAAGCAAAACTTTCATGTAAAAATTTTTTTAATTGATATGGAAAAGTTGTTATGTTGAATGATACAAAATTTACCTTGCACCGATAGATAAAAAGCTACAAGATTCTGAAGACACCACCCATCCTTCTGTTTCTGATGGTTTTTTTTCTGTAAATCACAAGACAATTCAGTTATTGAATTCAAGAAATTTAAAAGAGGCTACCTATTTCAGGAGAACAGTTAAACACCAATTTTAAAAACAAAAGATCTCAAACACTATCCATGACTATGACTTTAAGAACTCCTTGTTTGACTAGTACCAAAGATAAGATCGCAAGCTTCCTTCAAACAAAATGACTTCACAGCTCGAATAAGACATCTGACAAGTCAAAAAGAAAATCACTGAAATCATATTGCGCAAATGAAAAGGCTGGGCAAAGGATATGAATAGGTCATTCAGTCAGGACAAAATAGGAATGCCCATTAAATATATTAAAAGTGGCTCATCCTCAGAAATACAAGTGCCAAGACTTCCCTGGCAGTCCAGTGGTTTAAAAGTTGGTGCTTCCAATACAAGAAGTACGACTCCGATTACTGATCAGGGAACTAAGATCCCACATCCTACCTGGAGTGGCTAAAAAAGAGGGAAAAACTAAGTGCCACTTTTTTCTTTTTACCGAGCTTTTGTATTCAGTAAGTTCCTAATGCCTAAAGATTTCAGGGTGTGCTATAGTAGGACAATGGCTTGGAAAAGCATTATGAAATTACTGTATTTCTTTTGAAGTTCATTACCTTTATCATTTATATCAGAAATAGGAATAAGACGGCCAATGCATAGAGGACGATTTCCATAGGGATCTCGGACTGCATAAATCACATCTTTGTGCATTATAAGCAGAGAGTATGCTGTGGGTGCTTCTTTCATTAAATTTTTAATCCTGGAATCAATTAAATAATTCAATGAATAATCTTCATTATAAACACATGCAAGACAAAGGTCACATTATGACAGCTACAAGCTCAGTCTACTTTTACAATTACCTTGCTACCCAGTCTGGGGTGTCATCTTGTTCCTGAGGAGGGGTATAAGCCAGTAGCTGGGTAATCATTTCACTATCAGAACTTGTTGACAGACCAATACCATGACGCAGAAGCTATTTAGAAAAGAGAAAAGTCATAACTGTTAGAGGGGAAGCTTCAACTCTCCCTTCACCTAACAGCCTGCCATCACAGAAAGACATCAGATATTGTGTGGATGATGTTATAGAATCCTGCATTCTACCAATGGTAGGCATGTATATCTAATAATATACTAATAAATACTGTATATCTACTGCTGGAGGCAATGGGAAGTCTCTGAAGCTTTTCAAACAGGAAAAAAAAAGTGCTTTAGGAGGTATACAGGAAAAGCCTTTGAAAACTAAGTTTTACCCTGCAGTGGGTAGGTGGGAGGCAGATGGAGACAGCAGGAGGGTTTGGGCCTGCGGTTCTGACTGTCTCAGGCCAGTCCCGACAAATAGGACACATCCCCACAAGAGTGGCACGCTGCAGTAGGGACTTTCCACCGGTTTGCCCCGGCGGTGATGGTGGCGCCCCAGCCTCACTGGTCAGCCCGGATGCAGTGAGATGTGCTGAGATGAGCTGAGTGCCTGCGTAAGGGGTTAGGTCTAGAAATAACGAACAAGGTATTGTCTGGAATAGAACTTTTGGTGGTGATCGCTAAACAGTGAGTTTTAAAATAATGTTTACTTCATATTTATATTTTTGACTGAATAAAAAATTTGTTTTCATTTGGTAGCAAAAAAACTGTATTATTACAATGACAATGCCAGAGCCTAAGAAGAGGATAGGACACAGTTCTGGGAATAATTAAATCAATTTCCCAAATCACCATTCCAAAACAAATGCATAAGAACCACCTGAGGGGCACATTACACTGCAGATTAAGCGACCTCATTCCCACCCCAGACTCTGGGGGGAATATCTTAGAATTTGTAATGAGAACAAGTACTCCGGGTAATTCTGTTACAGTTGTTCTTTGCAATTCGGTAACAGGTGGCAACAACAAGATAATACACTTTACCAAGACCCTCCATACTTCTTTTCAATAATTTATCACAATCATGAAAAAAGCATTAAAAAAAAAAAAAACCCTTACCTTTTTCCTTAAGCGAGCAGCATTAACTAATTCACCATTATGTGCCACAGCTATTTTCCCATGAAGTGTTTCAACAACAAAGGGCTGGCAATTTTCTAATTCACAGTTTCCTGTAGTGGCATACCTTGTGTGTCCAATTCCAAGATTTGAAGTATATAATTTCTTCAAATTGTCTTCAGTAAATACGTGATTTACAAGACCCATTCCCTTCAAAGTCAAAATAAAAGCTCATCTTAGGGGAAAAAACACTAGCAGCACTTTTATAAGCTTCTGCTCAGACAATTCCAAATTAGAAAATGCAGTTCACTTAATTTCTCTGTGCTTCAGAATTCAAATCTTAAAAAAAAAAAAAAAAGAAGACTAACCTAATTGTAAGAACTGTGAAGCATTAAAATATATATCTGAGGTGGAATTCATATAACAAAATTAATCATGCTTGTTTTATAAGATTGTTGTTTAGTCACTAAGTCGTGTCTGACTCTTTCGCCATCTCATGGACTGTAGCCCGCCAGGCTTCTCCGTCCATGGGATTCTCCAGGCAAGAATACTGGAGTGGGTAGCCAACCCGTTCTCCAGTGGATCTTCCTGACCCAGGGACTGAACCCGAGTCTCCTGCACTGCAGGCAGATTCTTTACCTACTGAGTCACCTGTTTCATAAGATACTTCTTGATAAAACACTGAAGAACAGATGTACTAAGTGGCTAACATTTGTCAACTATAATCAACTAACTTATAATTTTAAATTCAAAGTATGTTAAAGTATTCAAATAAATGATAACTTGTCTCAGTCAATCTAGCAAATTATCACTGGGAGAGAAATGAACCATAGAAGAATAAAAACGTTGACCCATGAACAATACAGGCTTGGACTACACAGGTCCACTTATTCATGGATTTTTTTCCAATAAATATATCAGAAAAAAATTTTGGAGATTAGCAATGATATAAAAATACAGTGAGCTGTGTAGCCTAGAGTAAAAAATTTGAGAAACTGAATATGTCATGGATGCATAAAACATTTGTAGATACTAATCTATTTTATCATTTACTACCATAAAAATATACAGAAACCTATTATAAAATGTTAACATTTATCAAAACTTATGCACACAAAAAATACAAACCATAACTGGTGCTATTTGCTTTTTCAAGAAATGTAAACAAGCATAAGGGTGCAGTGTTAAGTCATTGCATAAAATGAACTATAGTCCATACTGCACTACTGAAATTATTTTGGAGCCACCTCCTGTTAATATTGTGGGGAGTTCAAGTGTTGCAAGTATCCACTTGAATGCAAGTATGCCATCTAATGTTAATCACCTCTGGGTGAGCCACTCATCTCTACATCAAGTTGCTTACTGCAGTGAAAGGCCTCTCTCCCAGCTACTGAGTATTTTCCTTCGTGTTTAGTGCGATACTGTAAACCTTGAGTGACACCCGGGGACTCTCACAAAGTGACACTCGTGACACTGGCAGTGCTCTCAAGGAGCAAAGCCGTGACTTCACAAGAAAAAGGTGAACTGCTTGGGGTCTACTGTAGATTGTGGCCTAAAACTGTGGTGGCCCTGCCATTTCAAGATAAATGAATCCAGCATAAAGACCACTGCAAAAAAAAAAAAAGGAAAACACATGAAGCCATTGTTGCAGCTATGCCAGCTGGCACAAACACTTTGTACTTTTTGTGAAACACTCTTTTATCTCATGTTGAAAATGCAGCTCTTAGGTGGGTTCAGGATTGCTATAAGAAAGGCATACCTATTAAATAAGATTTGAGAAAAAGTGTAGTTATTTAAATGAGGACAATGCAAAAGGAAGGTGAAGGATCTAAAGCTGAAGAATTAAATGTCAGCGAAGGATGGCTGGAGTTATTTAGGGAGAGGTTTGGCTTAAAAAACATCAAGATTTAAGGCCAGAAAGGATGGACTAACTCTCCTGTGTTATGCAAATGCAGCAGTGTTTATATTAGGACTGCCCTTATCTACAAGTTGCGAACCCCTGAACCTTGAAGGGAAAGGATAATCAGCAGCTGCTAGTCTTCTAAGTCATGACTGAACCATAAAGCCTGCACAACATGAACTCTTTTTCTGGACTGACTGATACCATGCATTGATGCTTTACTCCTGAAGTCAGGAAGCACCCTGCCAGTAAAGCACTGCTTTTGAAAGTTCTTCTGATATTGGGCAATGCCCTTGGCTACTCAGGACCCCGTAAGTTCAACAGTGTTGGAGCCAAGTGGTCGAAGCGATCTGCTTGCTCCCAAACACGACATCTCTAATTCAGCCCCGACTGTCAGGGGATCATGAGGACGTTCAAGGCTCATTGCAGTCCTATGGAAAGGACTGTCGGTGCCATGAAGACGACCCCAACAGAAAGAACAGCATGGAAGTCTGAAAGAATTACACCACTGACGATGCCACTGTCGTTACTGAAAAAGCCGTAAAAGCCAGCAAGCCTGAGACGAGGAATCCATGCCAGAGAAAACTGTGTCCGGAGGTTGTGCGTGACTTCACAGGATTCACAGTAGAACTAATCAAGGAAATCACGACGGAGACTGCGGATATGGCAAAAAATTAAAAATAACTGACAGAGATGAGTGCTTTTGAACCAGTGCCAGATGATAAGGAAGAAAACATGAAGAAAGCAGTGCCAGAAAACAAACTGACATCAGACAGTCCAGCAGAAGGGTTCTGATTATTTAAAACTGCTTTTGACTTATTTTACAATATAGACCTTTCTATGGCCACTAAACTAAAGCAAATGGTAGAAGGACTGGTATCGTACAGAAACATTTTTAGAGAAGTAAAAAAGCAAGTACGTGAGACAGAAATTACGATGTATCAGTCAAGTTACACGCAGTGTGCCCGCCCCCAACCCCACTATCTCCTTCCACACCCAAGACAGGAAAACCAACCTCTCCTCAGCCTACTCATTATGAACGATGACTACTAGGATGAAGAACTTTATGATGATCCACTTCAGTTTAATGAACAGTCATTAAACATCATGTTGTACAGTTAACAAAGTTATCTTATTGTGGATGTGTGAGAGGCTTTGTGTGAAAATCCAATAACTATATGGTAAAAACCATATGAACATTTTTGTGTCAGTACCATTACCGTCACCTAAGCAGTCAATGTGTAGAAGATTATGTGCAAGACTGGTGTTAAAGTAGACAGCCCATCCTTACATTGGCATGAAGTAATGATATTTTATAACAATTCACTTATTATGTATAGGCTAGGCAACCAAAAAGCAATTATATTGCTATTTCTTTGTTATCAATGCATGAATTATTATCCCCTAAACAGGAATTTTTTCACATTATCTTGTCATTTTTGAGGTCTATGTTAGCAATATGTATACCATGTACAGTGTTCTGTACCAACTTAAGACTATACTAACATAGACACCAATAACTTATATTATAAAAAGTCAACATAAGCTTATTGTATCAACAAAGACAATACTGTACTATAATTTCTATTCCTTGTGATTTTAATAATATTTTCTTTTCTCTAGCTTACTTTATGGTAGAACAATATATATAATACATATGACATACAAAATATGTTCCTATACTGTTAAAGGATCAACTATGCTTCTACATACAAAATACTTTTATTCAAAGTCCCCCCCCCACCCTCTATATACTAGCTGTTTTCTGACTATTGTTACCTTTATCATCAACACTTTTCAATGTTTAAATATACCTTGTGTGTTTTGAATGTTGGTATCGAATTTCCATCACTGGTCACAATACCAGCACTCTCCTGACCCCTGTGAATATAAAAAGGTGTCAAACTGTTAAATTTACCCCATTGATAAATTTCTTAGTGAATCTTATGGAACATACTTTTCTCAGTAACATCCACGAACTCAGTCTGACAACACGTTAAATGCTGCTAGCAGCAGTGCCACTTCCATCATGATGCTGATAATGATTAGAGCAGCAGATGAGACTGAGTTATGCCTAATAAGCCAGGCACTGTCTTAAGCATGTACATGAATGATCCAATTTATTAGGCTTTCAAAGCAATCCAACGAAGTAGTAACTATGATTACTGTTCACATTTTACAGATAAGGACAACACTAAAGAAACAAAATTAGCTCATCCAGTGTCACACAGAGAATGGTGACATGGCCAAGATTAGGACACAGACAACCTGATTTCAGACCTTGTGCTTGTAACCTCTGTAACAGGTGACCTCTGAATAAGGTTGAGTATGTAGATATAAAGTAAAAGTCCCAAATAAAATAGCAGGTAAAATGTCTGTGGGTACTAGAATCATAAAATTGATGTTTTTGTTTTGTTTTGCTTTTTTGCACTTCCCAAATGTCTTCTGACAAATAACCACCTCTTTTTTCATCAGAAAACAAATGCTGCTTCAAGAAGCCCTGAGCTGATCAGGCACTCTATCTCATTTCCTCAGTGCCACGAGGTGAGGATACAGAGAAAGCCAGAGCTAGGCTTCCAGCTCAGCAGGGTAACACACTGGTAAGACTTTAAAGGGTCTGCACCACAGTGGAGTATAAACTCAAAAGATAAACTAAACACTCCACTTTTAGTTTAACAATTTTAGCTTAACAATTTTTAGTAGTTCTGAACAAGTGCTATAAATACTAGATGTTTGTTAACAAATTTTTGTTCCAAAGAATATGTATCAGGGTAGAAATAAAAATTAAATCTCTACCATATATGTACATATACATTAACAATTACTAACATGATTTATTTTGTAGAAAGGATCTTTTCTAAAATTATAACAGGCATTTTAATGACGAGAAACTACAACATTAAATGCATCTGCAAAGTAAAAATCTAGAAAATTAAAAGTGAAGTAATTTTGCTAAATCACCAATGCATTAAATACTCTGAACTATTATGCTGAAAACAGACATGCATAATACTATACATCCTATACAACTGAATAATTTGTGACTTCAGATTAATTTATTTAGTGAAATCATGTGGTTTTCGGTTAACCAATGTCAGAAGAACTAAGTGATTCATATCAGAGGGAAAAAAAATAACCTTAGTCACAAACCTTTACGGTAGAAAAAACCTCTGCCAACCACTTCCAAAACAAACAAGCAAAAAATCAACAATCATATAGTAAATTAGAAATAAACAAACACAAAAAAGGTTTTCTTTCCCTTTTGTCTCAAGGGTAATTTGTCCTTTAAAGCTGAAATGAGTAACCTTAGGGATCTTTTAGGTCCAGGCTTCTTTAATCGGGAAGCCTGCTTATTTGGCAGTTTCTCAAGTTACTCCCCTGGGGCAGCTCGAACCAGTTAAACTAGATCCTTTCAGCTCTTCACGGCTTATTGACAACCAGCCGTCTGGTTTCCTAGGAAACAAAACCTTGGCTAGAAATAGTGAATCATTTCCAGGTCACTTTCAACATGGAGAGTGGAGCAGGAAAGCACTGGACTGAGGAAGAGGTTAAAGCTTTGCTAAGTGTCTGGGCAGAAAAAAATATACGAGAACAACTTTATGGAACACTGAGAAATAAAGGAATATTTATTTACATTGCTAAAAGGCTGCGAGCACTAGGAGTATACAGAGATTGGAAACAGTGCCGGGCAAAGTACAAAAATCTCAAATATGAATACAGAACAGTTAAATATGCCCACAACTCTGGAGACAGCTCTAAAACTATGAAGTTCTTTCATGATCTGGATGCCATCCTGCAGTATGAACCTGCCACACCATTAACAGAGGAAGATGCAAATGACAGGTGCCTGGCAACGCTGAGCCCAAGTACAGCCCCAGAGACCACCGAAGGTAAAAAGAAAAAGTACCATTCTTTTGTTTGTACCTAACAAACTGTAAGAGAACCAGACTTCTGAGTCCATATGATAAATATAGCCTGAAATATCAAGGTTGAGAAAAACAACTGACCTGTATGTATATGCTATTTTGCACAAGGTAAAAATTAATTTTAAAAAATAATTGAAATAATGCCACCATTAAAAAAATCTGTAAAATAAAAAAACAAAGACATTAAAATGGTACCAACTGCTAATGCCAACTGCTCCTTACTCATGCCTGATATGGTTTTTGGAAAATGGATTGGGTTCTGAGAGTATTTTTAATCTTAATTTTATGAGTACTAAAAAAAAAATATGTATTGCTCAACTGTTGTTTTCCCAGCTCCAAAGTAAGACAGAACTTTCTGCTCTGTATTAATGTTCCCACTTTCCTAAATTTATAAACAAAAGCACTAAAATACTAGTAACTGATAAAAATGTCATTACTAGTTTGGAAGAACATCTCCATTTTAATAGAAAGTAAAATGAAAAGATTTGACAGGTTAAATTATTTATGATTAAATGCTTTAAACACTGACATACCTTGAGGATATTGTGCATTGGGTTCTAGATCTCTGCAATAAAGCAAATATCCTAACAAAGCCAAGTCATACAAACTTTTTGGACAGGGAAGCCTGGCATGCTGCAGTCCATGGAGGTGCAAAGAGTTGGACATGACTGAAAGACTGAACGTTCAGTTCAGTTTATATGAATGCATATAAAATTTATATCACACTATACTGTAGTCTAAAAAACTGTACATACCTTAACTAAAAAATACTTCATGGCTACAAAACACTAACCATCATTTGAGCTAACAGTGAGTTGTAATAGTTTTCATTTTTTAAAAAAAATATTTATTTATTTTGGCTGCACCAGGTCTTATTTGCTGCATTCATTATCTTTTATTGCAGCATATGAACTCCTAGTTTCGGCAGATGGGATCTAGTTCCCTGACCACAGGCAGAACCCAGTCCCCCAGCCACTGGACCACCAGGAAGTCCCAGAGTTGCTATTTTTAAGGGCAGAGTTGTTCAGTTCAAAATCTGTGCTGTTGTGTGTGCTGAGTTGTTCAGCTGTGTCAAAATCTGTGGTATCTCCTGTCGTTTCCCCCTCACATGTGGTATCATCTAATACCTCCTCCCTGCGGCACAGCTGGTGGGGTCTTAGTTCCCAGATCAGGGACTGAACCCAGGCCAGGGCAGTGAAAGAGCCAAGGCCTAACCACTGGGACACCAGGGAACTTCCTACAACAATTATCTTTTACCCAATTTAAAATTATCCCAGTAGGACAGACTATCAGAAGTTCAATTTCTGGTTAAGGTGTGGGGTATGATTACTTTGAAACATATTACTAAAGTAACTTCTTTCCAAAAGAACTGTACGTTAACAATGAAACTGTCCTTTCTATAGAATAGGGGGCCGGGGCGGGGGAGAGACGTTGCTGATTTAATAAATAATGGAGTATGCTAATCTGGGGCTTCCTTGGTGACTCAGTGGTAAAGAATCTGCCTGCCATGCAAGAGACCAGGGTTCGTTCCCAATCGGGAAGATTCCTTGGAGAAGAAAATGGCAACCCACTCCAGTATTCTTGCCTGGAGAATTCCAGGAGCCTAGGGGGCTACAGTCCATGGGGTCACAAAGAGTTGGACACAACTGAGCGACTACTTACTACGCTAATCTAATAAATACATATATAACACATATAACAGTGTATTCAATCAGTAACTGTTTACTTTGCATTTGTTTAATTAAAAGTGCTGTGGAACATTTTACATATATTTACTCAATTTTATGAACTGACTGTTCATGTCAGTTGAGGTTTTAGAAAAATTTGCATGACCTCCTTTCACCTTATAATTTTGGCTGATTTTTACTTAACCCACAAAAGTCAAGAGTTTTAACACAGTTAAACAGCTTCTTTTCTAAGGCTTAAAGTGAATGAAAGTCACTCAGTCATGTCCAACTCTTTGCAACCCCACGGACTGTACAATCCATGGAATTTTCTAGGCCAGAATACTGGAGTGGGTAGCCTTTCCCTTCTCCAGGAAATCTTCCCAACCCAGGGATCAAACCCAGGTCTCCCACATTGCAGGCAGATTCTTTACCAGTTGAGCCACAAAGGAAGCCCTTCTAAGGCTTAGTCAGCCCTTCTTTCTCCAATTCTGATTCATTTATGACATCTTCTGATTTTTCTATGGTGGAACCAGCAGAATTTTTGTTGGTGTATGGCAAAAAGAAGGCAAAGAAGTGAATGTGTGTTTTCTACTGTTGGGATCAACCTGTTTCATGCAAGGGGTCCTCTTTCAAGGACAGAGGACCTGGTCCCTTTTGTTAGGCAGTAGGTAGCCTGACAAAGCCTTGGGAAAGGACTCTTAAGAGGCTTCATCTTCTAAAAACTATAATCATCCTCAATCTCAGAATACCTTTGGCCTACTGCTGCTGTATCACATTCCTTCAGTGACCAATTTCCACTCTTTCCCTTTTCTTACTGTATACAAATGCATTAAGAATAATGATTTAAGGGTTTCAATTTAAAATCTCCACTGTGTGGGTCCCCTGCATACAATTTTGGGATTCTTGCTAGGAATGATCAACCTGAGGGAAAAAAATTCCCTGAAGAAGGTGGAGAGAGATATTTCTTTTTTGCCCCCACCAGTATGTTCAGCTCTAAGACCTTTTCAATAAACAGAAGCAGGCCCTAAAGCAGATAAAAGTATAGTAAACCCTACCTTTCCTTGCTGTTCTCATCAAGCTCAGTCAATAAATTACCTGAGGATGTCAGTATCTTTTCTTCTTCTCTCTAAAGAGAGTTCTTATGTAATTTAAGATTTTTATTTTCCATATTCCCAACTAAATCAAAAACATTCCCTAACTGCAACTTAGCCTCAAATAATTGTGAAACTCAATTTTAAAATGACAATTTTTAAAATTATGTCATGTGCTTTGTGCTAAGTCGCTTCAG